CAGTCAATGTTAACAAACCAAATCGTTCATCCACCAGTTTGGGATCGGACTTAGGGTTTACATCGATGGAGTCTTTATCGAAAGTCGAAGATTCTCTTTTCACTGCTATTACTACTTTTCAGCTTCATTGCCTACTAGTTGTCGTGTTACTGTTTTCTGTTGGTTGGTTTGTATTGCTTGACGAGGGAAGTGCCTCATCTTCATTCTTTTCTTTCTGGTGCACGAAGGGAAGGGCTAAACCTTTTTCTTGGTTAAAAGTGATCTATTTCCTTCAGAGTTCCTTCAGAGTGGGAGATTTAACCTTTAAAGTTTCGGGCTAGAAGTAGTCATCTTACTCGCCTCCGATGCTCTATAGATCCTCGATACAAACCGAGTCTTTAACTGAGACCAACCAATTGCTAGATTCAAATGGAACCAGGGTCCATCCAGACTAGATAATCAGCCTCTTCATCTGATTCTTGAAAGTTGGATTCTTTTTTCGATTGAGGGAAGATAGCAATCACTCCAGACTGTACCGCTTCAAGCAGCATCTTATAGCGAGCAGGTTACCGGCTTTCATAAAGCAGCCCACGCCTTCTCGAAACTACTCTAGACGGTAAAGTTGCTAACAGAAGACTAAACACCTTTTGACACTACTTTTTCCCTATCTCTTATTCGAATTTTTATTTTATATATTTCTTCCCCCTTGTTATTGTTGCTTTATTGATGTTTATAGGACCAGATCAAAAGAATTTCTGATCAGATCAAAGTCCTCATTCGACTGGGTTATCAAAAACTTAAGACTCATCCTACCTCATATTAAAACCTACAGTAACTCTATAACCTCTAATTGTGGACCAAAGATATATTTTTTTATTTTTTATCACTAAATCTTGTTAAACTAATGATAAATCTAATAAAACAGATAAATCAAATAAAAAATAAAAAATAAATAAAAAATAAAAATAAAGGTCAATTATGCCTGCTAGTTGGATCCTAAATCGAGTCCAATGGGCTTAGACCCAAACCCCATTGGACCAGGCCCAATGGACTTGGGTCCGGACTAAATAGGGTGTCTACATCAATATTATTAAAATTGTATTAAGTTCAAAATGAATAAGTTCACTTTAAAAACAATAATTGAACTTTCATTTAAGCTCAAATAAATAATCTTTAAAGATAGATTTGGTTTGAGAAATATGAAAAATAAAGAAAGGTTTGTTTAAGCTTTGAAAATCATATTATTTATTTAGTACCAAAATATAAAACTTAAGAACATATACTAAATAAATCTTTTTCAAAATCTTGATCAAGTTTATTTAGCTTTAATATTTTGTCATTTCAAAATAAATGTCAATTCAAGGCTAACAACATATATATAAATATAAAATTAAATAACTAATGAAATATATATTATATATATTATACATATATATATATATATCATAAGATGGCTTAGAACATAGCATTAGAAATCCATTTGACCCATCCCTAACTTTTATGAAAAAATGATTCAATTGATTCGATATTAAGTTTGTGCAAAAATATTCATATCGAATTGAGATTGGATAAAAACTTATTAAATATTAATTATTTTGTTATTTTTATTAATTAAGAAAAAAAGAGAAAAAAATCAATCATTGTGTACTTTCCGATATCAAGGTAAGTCTAAATATAAAAATTTAATAAAATAACAAAATTTTTAAAAAAATATATAAGTAAAAAATTAAAATTTTTTTAATAATAAAGTAGATGCTACCTTAAAATTTTAAATCTTAAAAAAATGTGATACATTTACATTCCTTAAAATGAATGGTAATTAATATAGTATTCGTTTTTAGTGTAATTTATTGAATAAAAATATTTATATAGTAATAAATTATAAATTATAAGAAAAAAACTTTCAAATGAAATATTTTTGAAAAAATAATTATTTTAGAATCTACCTAGAAGTAGGACTCAAAAACATTTTTGATCAAACGGATTATTTTTGAATTCACAGAGCTATAATTTATACTATTGTCAAAAGTGAGAATTAATCCAAACCCGGAGCTTCCGGGACCCGAGCATTACCATCCGGTGTCCCAGATCAACCTTTCTGCCACGGTTCACACCCTTGTGAGGTATTGTCCACTCTAGCCCCCTGGCCTCACGGTTTTATCCTACAAAAGGGGCCTCACCAGGTAGAGATGGCGTGAACCTTTTTATACCCTGTGACCCTCCTATTATGTTTGATGTGAGATTCAAGACTCTTCCTTAGGCCCGTGACATTTTCCCTCACCCAACCTTGTGTCGCCTTGGAGGCTGGTCATCCTGCCTACCTCCCTCGAGGCGCTCAGCGTGGATCGGACTGGCTCTGATACCACTTGTCATGTCGAGACTCAAGCTCCAAACCCGCGCGGCTTCGGAACCCGGATATTCACCCATTCGACGTCCTGGATCAGCCTTCCTGTCACGGTTTACACCCTTGTGAGGTATTGTCCGCTCTGACCCCTTTGACCTTACGGTTTTATCTTACAAAAGTCGCTTTACAAGGTAAAAGTGGTGTAAATTTTTTTATATTTCAGTGATGCTCTTATTATGTTCGATGTAAATTTCAAGACTTTCTTTAGGTCCGTGACAATATCACTTTCCATGATTAAGCGCGAATCCGTTTTGACCGCGTTCGGGCAACTGTCGGGACGGATCCGTCACACCTCTTACTGCACGCTTCACTCTCAAAGAAGAAAAAAAAATTTTTTCTCTCAAGCTCACTCTCTGGTCTCTTCAGTTAGAATAGTTTTTGAGAAACACAAAAAGGAAAGTTCATTTCTTTAATTTATATTTTTTTACTTGTTAATAGGAAAAAGGTTTAAAAAAGAAACAAATTTTGTTTTTTTTTTATATTTATGTTTTTGTTGGTTGCCTTTTTTGGGGGCATGCTTTCTAATGGAGGGGAATGGGATCAAAGGAATGGATTGGTTGAGGAGATTTTTGAGCTGTAATGGTTGAATTTGAGAGCTAGCGTTCTTGGGTTTTTGTTCTAATGTTGAGATGTTGGGGTCTTCTTTATTGTTTGGATCTAAGGATACTTAGATTGGGAAGCTTAAAAGTTGAAAAAAAAGTTTCAGCTTTATTTTTTCTTTGGTTTGTCAAATGGAAGGAAGCAAAAAGGTCGAATCTTTGGCTTTAGTTGGTTGATCTTGGTGCTACTGCATCCCTTATGGCCTGTTTCTGCTAATGTGGAAGGTAAAAATATTTGCTTTTTTTTTTTATTCTATTCTTTTTCTTGCAGCAGCCCACTTTTGTTTTGTGTGTTCAATCGTTTTTGGAGTTTGATCCTTACGTTTTTTTTTGTAACATTGATTGGTTTTTGCAAAATGGGTTTTTGATATTTTGTCATATCATTTAGTTTTAAGTTTGAAAAGGGGTGTGTTTTAATTAGTTTGTATTCTTGTTTTCGTGATGATTGAAAGTTTTCCCCTTTTCGTTTGTGTTTTGCTTTGGGGAGATTACTTTAGAAGTGCTTAATTTGATTCTATGGTTTCTGATCCTTGTAGTAAATCAAACATTAACCCTACATCATATGGTTGTACAATTTGTGACTTTTTGTTATAATGTGTATATGGATGCTATGAGAACATGTCTCAGGAAAATGCTTTGCAAATGTTCACTTATGATATTTAATTGTTCACGGCAGTTGCATACTTTTTCGTACATTAAATGTTGACTTGATGATACTGTAGTAATCATTACTTCTTTGCACATTTTAAATTGTTTTTTACACGCCTTTCTGGTTTAATAGCAGATGTATTATATTCAAGAAGTCATTAAACTTACACAGTTTAATACGAAAAATCTTGTATCATTTTTTTCATCTTTGGTTCACTATTGACCCAATGGATGATTTTGGGAAATTTTTATTTACATTTGACTTCTCATACTTTAAATTTTAGAAGATTTTGTTGATGGAACTGTTTAATTATGATAAAGTTGATGTCTTGTGCTGTTTCAAACCGTTTAAGCATCTTCAAATAAATTTGCTTTCTGCTTGTTAATTAACTTGCTAATTGCCTAATTCTTCTGGTGCGTGGAGATGAATATGCTTTCTTAATGTGGCTTAGTAGCTGGTTTAGCTGTGCTATATATTTTAACATATGCATTGTTAGTTAGTTTCACCCACTTACCATCTTTACTTGCTTCTTGAAACAGGTGATGCGTTGCACACCCTAAGGACCAATCTAAATGATCCTAACAATGTACTGCAGAGTTGGGATCCTACCCTTGTCAACCCCTGCACATGGTTTCATGTTACATGTAACAATGATAATAGTGTTATTAGAGTGTAATGTATTTTGCTCTTTGATGGCTTCTAAGTACTTGGTTACTACATAAAAGACGTGTTTTACTGATTTTGCAAAGGATTACTTGTGTAGTGCCTAATTCTGCATCAAATTTTCAGTGATCTTGGAAATGCAGCTTTGTCGGGTCAGCTTGTACCACAGCTTGGCTTGCTTAAGAATTTGCAGTACTTGTAAGTGCTGCTCTACTTTGATAATACTAGCTGTTTTCTATTTGTATGTTTGGTTTGGCTTGGTTGTGCTTACTTCTGAGAAAAATATGTTATTGCTAACTTTGTCGATGTTTATAAAAGGAAGAAATGGTTCTGAGCAAGGATTGTTGCATTAAATAAGCTTCATTAATCACTTGGCCAATAGGAAGTGGTTTAGGGTCATAGCTGCTTCATTTAGTTTATCCAACTTCTTTTACATATTCAATTCATAGTTCTGAGGAAAAGGCTAATGTGTAATTCCTCTATGCATGGCACAGTGACTGTCTTCCTTTGCCAGTAGAATGAAGAGTATAAATTTTAAAATTCTTGATTCTGTTGCCAGACTGCAGCTGAAACCAATCTGTCAATGAGTAACTGTAATAGGAACTTATTTCTTTAATATGGGGTTGGTCATGTTGGCCACCTCCAGGTTGAGGCGCCATTTATAATAAACTAAAAAAATTGTCTTTCCCTGTAGAATCTAATTCTGATGATCTTCATGTTTATGGTATGTTAAAGTTTTACAAGATGCTTTCCTAAACAAGGGTTTGCCTCTATATGGAGCACCAGCTGGGAATAATTGCTATTGACTAGGATCTGAAAGTTCTCAGCCAATGTTTACTAACTTGGTCTAAGTTCCCTTGTCAAAATGAGGTGTCCATCTTAAACGATCCTATAAGTGAAGGTTCATGAATGAATTAATAAGCATTGTGGAGCTAGTTTACATTCATTCTTTCTTATCTAGTTATTGAGCTGGTCTTCTGATGGGCTTTCTGGGAGAAGGGATAGTTCCATGTGTATCATCTTATTTCCCCCTTTGACTTGGTGGTTTGTTTCCCTTAAAACATGACAAGAGGACATTTTTTTTTCTATGATATAATGGGTTTTGGAAAGTCTCTTCCAGTTCTTTTAGACTTTGCAAATGATATATTCATCAAATCCTAGTATGAAGTTTTTAGTGCACAGTTTATTTGTCTTAGTATTTCATTACATTACTTCTGCCTTTTGAGATGTATCTTTTTATGCCAGGGAACTTTATAGTAATAACGTAAGTGGACCAATTCCTAGTGATCTTGGGAATTTGACTAGCTTGGTGAGCTTGGATCTTTATTTGAATAGTTTCAGTGGTCCTATTCCAGAATCTTTAGGCAGGCTGACAAAATTGCGATTCCTGTAAGTATATTTGCTTTGCAGCTAATTTTTTTCCTTTTTTATTTTTTGGTACAACAGCTGATTGGTTTATTACATGTTGAGCTGCATGTAATACTGAGAGCTTAATCTTTTCTTTTTAAATCATGTAAATGGTAAAACTAAAGTATACTTGATTTAAAGTAAACAAAGAATCAGAGACAAGTTATTTACTAGTATTTGTTATTTTAAGACATAATCACATGTACGATATTACACTCCCCTAAAAAACCCATCTTTAGTATTCAGAAAGTATATTTTCATAACGTATATAGCATATACAAGATCATTGCATTGCATTTGTTCATCAACTACAACACTCTGGTCAACTTTTTAGTGCAACTCGTTTAGTTAAATTTTCAGTTTACGAAAATATCCAGGAGTAATTGAAACTTTGCTGACATTTAAGAGCTAATATAACATTTTCTAGGGTTAATTCCATTTAGTAAACATGAGTCTGCAACTTCAGCATTGGTATATTTCCACATGTCATACATTCATCCACATGTATGAAGAGAATACTGATTGAGCAACTGATGCGTAAAACAAAGAGCTTTTCATGTCTAATTTTGATTGTATACTGCTGTTGTAGGTCAAAGTTTGCTTAATATAAAACCTCTATATTTTGTTTAGATCTTAAATTCTTTTGTTATTGAAACGTTTGTGTGAGGATAGCCGGCTTAACAACAACACCTTGACGGGTCCTATTCCTATGTCATTAACTAGTATCACATCACTTCAAGTCCTGTGAGTGCCGACTTTACCTCTTATGTCAGGATCCATCATTCTGCCCCCCTTTTCTCTTCTGAGATATAATCATTATTGTAAAACTTATGAATCCTCAAATATTTCTGTAAAATGTAGGGATCTATCAACTAATCATCTCTCTGGTGAGGTTCCAGATAATGGCTCCTTCTCACTATTCACTCCCATCAGGTTATTTTTAAGTGATCTGAATTCTGTTTTTCTTGGCTGAAAATTTTGGTTGCCTTGCTTAGGTGTTTGTTGTTCCATATGCAGTTTTGCTAACAACTTGGATCTGTGTGGCCCAGTTACTGGACGCCCTTGCCCAGGATCTCCTCCTCCTCCTTTCGTTCCACCACCACCAATTTCTTCACCAAGTAATCTTCCTTTCATGTTGTATATTTCGAATATATTGAGCTGCCTTTAAAGGTTTCTACGTGCAGTATAGTTTTTTTTTTGTTTGCTATTCTTGCTGTCAAGTAGACTGTTTTAGTTCTATTTGAAAATGTATAATCTGCCAATCTTTGCATTTTAGCATTTTATGCCCCTACATTCTGTAATTTAGTGGCATGCATCTACAATGAGCTGAAATTGATGTCCCTGAGCTTTTCTTCTGGGTGAATCTCATATAAGCTTGCACATCCGGTGCTTTAGTTCCATAAGTTTAAATCAGCTTTATCATTATAAATTTGATTGTGATGAGATGTAATTAACAATAGTGCCTTTTAATGAAGAGTTGTGTTTGTAAATTGCTTCTGATTTGATGCATTATCGTGGTTGTTGTGCAAAAATGGTTTGTACAAAGGAAATAGCTGTTACGTTTTCCATTGGTTATTCTAATTTCTCCATCATATCATGTTTTAGGTGGGAATAGTGTCACTGGTGCAATTGCCGGAGGAGTTGCAGCAGGTGCTGCTTTATTGTTTGCTGCACCTGCAATTACATTTGCATGGTGGCGTTGGCGAAAACCTCAAGAATTTTTCTTTGATGTAACTGGTTAGTGCAATAAATGAAATTTTATTGGATTAATGGGTTCAATTATGGTATTCATTGTTTACATCTCTTTGCAGCGGAAGAGGACCCAGAAATCCATCTTGGGCAGCTTAAGAGGTTTTCACTGCGAGAAGTACAAATTGCCACTGATAGTTTTAGCAACAAAAACATTTTGGGTAGAGGTGGATTTGGTAAGGTTTATAAAGGTCGGTTAGCTGACGGTTCACTGGTGGCTGTGAAAAGATTGAAGGAAGAGCATTCACCTGGTGGGGAGTTACAATTTCAAACAGAGTTTGAGATGATCAGCATGGCTGTGCATCGGAATCTCCTTAGGTTGCATGGGTTTTGTATGACACCAACTGAACGGTTGCTTGTTTATCCCTACATGGCTAATGGAAGTGTTGCATCATGTTTACGAGGTGAAGCCAATGAGTGTTTGTACTTTAATTCCTCATTTTTTCTTTGAAGGGGGGGGGGGGGGTTTGGGGAATTTTATGGGTATAATCAGTGAACATCTAGTCTTGCTTTCCATCTTGAGTATATTTTCATGTTTTCTTGATGTATTCTTATAGAGTGCCCTCCATCACAACCTCCACTTGATTGGCCAACACGGAAGAGAATTGCATTGGGATCTGCTAGAGGTCTTTCCTATTTGCATGATCATTGTGACCCAAAGATCATTCATCGTGATGTAAAAGCTGCAAATATTTTGTTGGATGAGGAGTTTGAAGCTGTTGTTGGTGACTTTGGTTTGGCTAAACTTATGGACTACAAGGATACTCATGTAACTACTGCTGTACGTGGCACAATTGGACATATTGCTCCAGAGTATCTCTCTACTGGCAAATCTTCAGAGAAACTGATGTTTTTGGTTATGGTATCATGCTTCTGGAGCTTATCACTGGACAGCGGGCATTTGATCTTGCTCGGCTTGCAAATGATGATGATGTCATGTTACTTGATTGGGTATGCATATAATGTTTTCTTTTTCGCTATCTTAGTCTTCATTTAATTGATTTGCTTACTATACTCTCTATTCTCTATCTCTTTAAATGCTAATTCATCAACTGTTCAATTTTTTCCTTGATACTGCCCGATTCTCAATATTATTATCTCTTACTTTGGGGATATGTAAAAACTAGTTGGATTGATAGTAGTTCCGATGCCTTGTAGTAATGATAAAGCAAACTATTTTAGCTTAATTGAAATAAGCTACTGTAGCAAAAGGCATAGTTTCATAAAAGTCAAGCCACTTGATTGACGTTTATACTTGGAAGGCGCTTAAGTCTAGAGCACCGGCTAGAATACCTTGGTTTATGCTTGAGCTACGGATTGCTTATGTTTTGTAATCCCTTGTGAAGGCAATTGACCCTTTTCTGGTATCAGAGCCTTACTTGCTAAAATAGAATAAAAAAATTGTGACTGTGAAAAAACTAAGAAATAAATTAGTGTGGAAAACTGAACGTATATTGAAAAACTGCTCATTAAAAATTATACAAGAACCTTAGGTTTATATACAACTAACTAGGGGTTAAACTAGGAAACTAAATCTTCCTAAAAAAACTAATCCTATAATTGAGAGATTGTCTATCCAAATTTTTTTGTCCTTAATTCTAAGGATACAAATACTTAATTCTAGGGATACAAATATAAATATACAGATTACAAGATTACAATGAACTGTAAATAAGTGTTTTCCCACACTCCCCCTTAAGCTGGTGAATAGGTGTTTTCTATTCCCAGCTTGGAAATAATTTCTTGAAATGTTGCACTGATGAGACCTTTAGTCAACACATCTGCAAGTTGACCTTTGGTTGATACATAAGGTGTACAAATCAACCTACTGTCTAGTTTCTCCTTTATGAAATGCCGATCTACTTCAATGTGTTTTGTTTTGTCATGTTGCACAGGATTGTGTGCAATGCTTATTGCAGACTTGTTATCACAGTAGAGTCTCATTGGTCCATCCCACTTGATCTTCAAGTCTTCTAGGATAATCTTTAACCATAGTAGTTCACAAATTCCTTGAGCCATTGCTCTGAACTCTACTTCAGCACTTGATCTTGCCACCATATTCTATTTTTTACTCCTTCAAGTTACAAGATTACCACCTAAGAAAGTGTAGTAGCCTGAGGTGGATCTTCTATCAGTTATTGAACCTGCATAATCAGCATCTGTATATGCTTCTAGAACTAACCCCAAATTTCTTTTGAATAAGATACTTCTCCCACGATTGGCCTTCAAATAGTGCAATATACGGTAGACAGCCTGTAGGTGCACTTCTTTAGGACTATGCATAAATTGACTTACTACACTCACAGTATATGCTATATCAGGTTAGTATGTGAGAGATAAATGAGTGTTCCAACTAATCTTTGGTACATCTCTCTATTTATAGCAGCATCTTCATTAGCTTCTCCAATTTTATGATTAGGATCTATAGGGGTATTTGCAGGTTTACATGCGAGTTTCCTAGTTTCCTTCAGAAGATCCATCACATATTTCTATTGTGAGATGAAGATACCATGCCGTGAGTGAGCTACTTCAATTCCTAGGAAGTACTTCAATCTCCCTAGCTCTTTTATCTCAAATTCTCTAGTCAAACACTGTTTTAGAGATTTTTTTTCTTTTTCATCATCTCCAGTTACAATTATATCATCATCATACACTAATAGAACCATGACTCTCCCTAAATCAGAGTGCTTGATAAACAATGTGTGATCTCCATGACTCTGTTTATATCCCATTGCTAGCATCACTTTGGCAAATCTCCTGAACCAAGCCCTAGAAGACTGTTTAAGGCCATATAATGCCTTTTTTAGCCTACATACTTTGTTTGCTTCTAGATGACCTCCAAATCCCGGTGAAACCTTCATATATATTTCTTTTTCCAAATCACCATGTAGAAAAGCATTCTTTACATCAAATTGTTGAAGCTGCCAATTGTAATTTGCAGCCAATGATAACAAAATCCTAACTATATTCATCTTGACAACTGGAGCGAAGGTTTCCTGATAATCCACTCCATAGGTTTGAGTGTAGCCTTTAACCACTAACCTGGCTTTATACTTTTCAATAGTACCATCTGCTTTGTATTTTACAGTGAAAATCCATTTACACCCCACTGGATTTTTTCCTTTAGGCAACTCTACTAGTTCCCATGTCTGATTTTTCTTTAAGTTCTCCATTTCTATTTTCATGGCTTGCCTCCATTTCTCACTGGATAATGCCTCGGATGATGTAGTTGGAACAAAAATAGTGTTTAGGCTCACAAGAAAATTTTTGTGGGATGGTGAGAATTTTTCAAATGACACAAAATTAGAGATTGGGTATAGTGGATGCTTAGTACATTCTCTGGTTCCTTTCCTAATAGCAATAGGCAGATCATAATCATTAGTTATAGTTTTAGGAGATTCATGCTTATTTTGAGAAACAGAGTCAAAAACTGTAGTTACCTCATTTCCAGAGTTAGGATCAGGTTTTTGGACTGGCACTGGTTCAAGATTTGGAACTTTCCTTCTTTAGTACACCTGTAATTCTTTCATAGAATCAAAAATAATATTATCTTTTGTCACATCTTTTGTATTTGGAATGGGTTCAGACTCAAATTCAGTATTTGACTTGGGCTCAGCAGAAATAGGTTTCGACTCAGAAGAATTAATGAGTGTAAATGTTGAAGAAGGGGACAAATCAAGCAAAAAGAAATCTTTATCCTTATCTTCCATGAATGAAGTCTCCCCTGAAGGTAAGGTTGAGTAAAAAATGGTTTACTTTCTTCAAAAGTGACATTTGCAAACATGTAAAATTTTTGGGTAAGAGGATGATAGCACTTATATCCTTTTTGAGTTGAAAAATACCCCACAAAAATACACTTAATCGCTCTTGGATCCAACTTCCCCTGTTATGAACTGTGAACATGAACAAATGAGTACAACCCAAATATCCTAGGTGTGAGATTGGTTTGTGGTATTGAGGTTGGGATAAAAATTGGTGGAGAGAAGTTCCATAGGAGTTTTAAATCCAAAACCCTTGAAAGGTAACCTATTATACTAATGCTGTGTGTAGTGAGAACAGCTTTCCCCCAGTAAAATTTAAGTACATTTGCTTGAAAAAGAAAGGCTTGGGTTGTGGCTAGTAAATGGTTGTTTTTCCTCTTTGCCACTCCATTCTGCTGTGGAGTATTAACACAAGATGATTCATGGATAATCCTCTCTTTTTGGAAGTAGGTAGATAGACTCTGGTTGAAGTTGTCTCTTGCATTGTCAAACCTAAATCTCTTGATTCTCATTCCAAATTGATTTTGGATAATGTTTTGGAAGCTTAAAAACACACTATTCACATCTGATTTGGATTTAAGTAAAAAAACCCAAGAGACCTTGG